CCAAGAATTGAAATTACACACCCCTGCGCGTTATTACGCGAAAATACGGTATATAACTGACTAAGAAAAATCAGAAATCGATCTTGTAAATTTAGAATTTAACAACTCACTTCGAATATGCAAAATATAAAAAAAATTCGTATGTACTAGTACGAAATTTTTTATTTTTTTTTAGTGTACGTACTATTAAAATTTTGCTCAATTTTCGTACGTCCATACATATTTGTACAATCGTACTGTACTACTTTACTAAATACCTAAGAAAAAATAATCTAGGCCGAGCCCAATTCATCCTTTTACAACAGCTTTCCTCTATGGATTTGACTCCAATTCAAACCCCTGAGGGAGTTCCTCGCCTTTTTGACCTTATTAAACCAAAAGAGAAAAAGTTTGCACCAGCGTTCTATAAGGCTTTACAAAATACTCTTGTTGCAGAAAATTTACAACAGGCCAGTAGGATTGCATACGGTAAACAGCGATGGCGTGTGGTAACGTTAGATGGGCAACTTATTGACAAATCTGGAACAATGTCCGGAGGTGGTACCAAAGTAAATCGCGGGGGAATGAGTTCAAAATTTGTTCCTGACGTAACACCAGAAATAGTTTCGAATTTGGAAAAAGAACGAATTCGTTTAGAGAACCAATGGAGGGAATTTAAAGAGCAACGTAAAAATTCGGAAGATCAACTTTTCCATAAAAAGAATGAAATACCCGAATTAGAACTGAATTTGTCAAAGCTAGATATGGATCTAAATGCTTGCATTAGGCGTATAGCCGATACTCAGAAGCGAATTAACGAGTTACGGTAAGGAGATTTTACTGTATATTTGTGGCAATATAGTAAATGATAATAAATGATAATCTTTTTTTTTTTTAATTAGCCAACAAAACAAGCCAAATGTGGAAGATGGAAAACGAATGCAGAAAATTTCGATGGAAATCGAAAAATTGACTACAGAGTTAGAAGATTTGAAAGGTCAATCATCGAAAATTGAAGATGAGATCAAGATGCTGCACGAACAAATTTTACAGGCTGGTGGAGACAAGTTTCGGAGTCAAAAATACCAGGTCGATTCAATAAAGGAAAAGATAGTAATGATTAATGATAGAATAACTTCTTCCCAAGTAGCGAAATCTAAGGCCGAGAAGGATGTATCTAAATTTGAAACTTCAATTGCTAAGAATGAAAATGAAATGGAACAATTGAAACAAGAGTTAGAACAGCTTGAAATTGATATTCGACAAAAGGCCGAAATTGCACGTTCGATCAGTGATCGAGCTAATGAAGCGAAAAGGGTATTGATTTTACTAAATACTTGAAATACATATTGTGCATCAATTTTACAATTTGTTCTCGTACATTATTATTAGGTCTTGGACGATAGGAAGGAAGAATTAGATGAAATTAAAACAGAACTTGATGAGAAAACAGAAATAATCAATCAAATTAGAGCTGTCGAAGTAAGATCTTTACTTATATCACTCATTATTCGCATCTTATATCAATTTGTAATTAAAAATTTACTAATAGGTAGAAATAAGAAACAAGCTCGAAGATTGTGAACGAACCTTGGCAGAAAATAAGCAAAAGGAAAATTATTGGCTTGGTTTACTTGGAAAACTTACACTTCACGAAATTGGGTATAAAATTTATGAAATTAAAGGAATTTCTTTTTTTTTAATAAAAAAAAGAGAATTATATTCAGACTTATATTTACCAAATATAGAGATGAACCGAGGCCCGAATTTCAAACATATACAGATGACGAGCTTTTAGCAATGGATAAAGAAAATTTAAAAAATGAAATAGAGTCGCTCAATGGTACGAATTGGTAAAGTGTTATTGTTCATGAATCATTAAATTAACATTAAATTAAAATAGCAACAAATTAATAGCGAAGATACAGGATGCTAATCCCAACCTCAACGTCTTACTGGAATATCGTCGATGTGAGGAAGAATATACATCACGCGTAAAAGATCTTGAAGAAGTAACGTCGATTCGTGATGAATGTAGAAGGCAGTATGACGAATTGCGTAAATTAAGGTTGGAAGAATTCATGCATGGGTTTACTTTAATTTCTCAGAAACTCAAAGAAATGTATCAGGTACATAAATTTTGTTGATACATAGATCAAGAAATTTTCAAAAATCGTTTATTTACGAAAACATCTTTATAGATGATTACACTTGGTGGGAACGCAGAGCTTGAATGTTGTGATAGCCTGGACCCATTTTCTGAGGGTATCATATTCAGTGTAATGCCTCCAAAGAAGAGTTGGAAAAATATTTCTAATTTATCTGGTGGAGAAAAGGTAACCTTATCTCATTTGATCAAATTGCAAATAAAACGCGAAAAAAAAACCTAACGAATAGATTAAATTTTGTAGACATTAAGTTCTTTGGCTTTGGTATTTGCGCTTCATCATTACAAGCCCACACCGTTGTACGTGATGGATGAGATTGACGCCGCCTTGGATTTTAGAAATGTGTCAATCGTCGCAAACTATATAAAAGAGCGTACAAAAAATGCCCAATTTATTATTATTAGCCTACGAAATAATATGTTTGAGTTGGCCGATCGATTAGTTGGTATATACAAAACTAATAATATGGTAAGTTTATAGATCATGATTATTAAATAATATGTATTAATAATAAATAATATAAGCAAAAATTTATTTATTATTCCTTTTGTGAATTATTTAGACAAAATCAATCACCATATCCCCGCTAGGGTTGGTAAAGTCCTTAGGTCCGGGACTTTAAGGACCTAGGGTCCTTAGGTCTTTAAAAAGTCCTAATATACAAATTAAATTTATTAAAAATAATAAAATTCATTTCAATTGCAAAATTTCTGCTATTGCATAATTCTGGACAGCCTAATCAATATATAATTTCAATAAAGTTTTAAATGCATAGTTTAAGATCATAATCATTTATTTAATGTACAGTATATAGTTAATATTATTACACATTCTAATAGGTAAATGTTAATATATATATATATATATATATGGGGTCTTTGCCTTGAAAATGACCTTACGGTATCATGTACCGTAAGGTCATTTTCAAGGCAAAGATCCCATATATGTACATTGTGAAGGGATGACGTGACTAGCCGCAGCAAAAAAATGTGATCGAGGCGAAGCTCTATTGAATAGTAAGGCGCCTCTATGGTGGAGCTAAGGTCATAGTCATGTAAATGAGTATGAATTACTCATAGATTCCTCTAAATAGTCATATTGCTTAGAGATTCTAATCGTAGTAGCAAAGCTCCAAAGCTCTCTGTAATGTATAAATAACCATCGATTTCATGTAATAATAAAGATAAACTCCGGGGATCCTAATGACAGTAGGATCCTTGGTTTTCGGACCAAATCTTCCACGCCTTCTTTCGAGTAGCCTTTGATTTTTGTTGTGTCTTAGGTTGCAAGTACTAGTCACCCCTTTTACAACTACTTACAGTATCTAATTATTATATATATATATATATATATTTATCTATTTATTTTATATACTGTACCCTACTTATCATAGTTACTTATAATAGTTATCTATTTATTATTAGTTCAGTAGTTACTTATCTACTTATCATAGTTACTTACTTATCATAGTTACTTACTTATCATAGTTACTTACTTATCATAGTTACTTACTTATCATAGTTACTTACTTATCATATATAGTTACTTACTTTTCATAGTTACTTACTTATCATAGTTACTTACTTATCATAGTTACTTACTTATCATAGTTACTTATATATTTACTTATCATAGTTATTTATCTACTTACTATAATTACTTATCTACTTATTATAGCTACTTATTTATTTAATATAGTTATTTATCTACTTATTATATTATTTGTAATATTTTATTTATGTAATAAACCTGTTTTTTTCACTTTTTATTTAATAAATAGATATTATATATACTTTTGTTTATATTCTTATTATTTCATTTATACTCATTTTATTATCTTCTTATTATATTTTATCTTAGTTTTTTTTTATCTTTTTTTTTTTTTATTGATTATTCTCTCTTATTTTCTATACTTCTATATTGTATACTCTTTATTTTATCTTATTTAGCTTCTTTTATTCTTGAGTTTACTGTATTTTCTTTAGATTTATTATTTATTTTATTCATATTTTTTACTCTCTTCATGTTAAATCAAGTGATATAGTTACTGCCACCAAAGTTACTATATTATAGTATATCTTTTTTATCCCCTCTTAGTTGCTTTTTAGAAAACAAAATTAAAATAAATTTGACTATTTAATAATACAGTAATCACGAACAGATCAAGTTCATTATGTGTCAGGACTTATTATAAAAAAGCTCGTTATAGAAAGTTTCGGTGTAGATGGATTTATAAATGAACCTTATTCATAACCAAATTAACAAAATAATTCAAATAAAGTATAAAAAGATTAAAATATATTTCAGATATATTCTGTATTTCAGATTAAATAACGGGAGAAAAAAACTCTCTTAAATTTTATATTACAGTAATTCGGTATAAAGAATTATGGTTCTTAAGAAAAATAATTTTATCGTGTTTCTTTTGTATTATCAATATAGAAGAAAAATCGTACAATTTATCTTGTGAGATCAGGAGGTCGAGGCTCATGTGACTGCATCCTCGATTGACGTTTATTACCAGTAATCGCTGTACAGACCATACAGCACTGACCAAACCATCATACCGTACTAAATATATGTATACTCAGAAAAAACGCATTCTACCGCCACGTAAGGTTGGTACCTTGGCAAGTGTGTTAGCCGAAGAAGTTGCGGCCGACCAAGGTATGCCAACAGTTATTTGATTAGTATACACAAATATTCAATATTTTTTACTTTTTATATTGTAAAAAAAAAAATAAAAAAAATAAATAATAGAACAATCACATGAACCTTTCATTACTGGAGATACGATTCTTATGCTGACCACGGATGAAGATATCTTAAAAACATGTGAAATAGTTGAAGATAATGATATTAATTATGATGAAGAAACGACTATGTCAATCACGATTGATAATGATAAAAAAGATATATTAGTTCCCTCCTTTAAACTTTGGGATGAGGATGTTGGTAGCGGTTTACGCAGTAAAGCACAAGAGGTTGGTAAGAAATCGGGATTTTATTTAATTTAAAAAATTATCAAGAGTCAATATAAAAAATATACTTTCTATGTAAAAAAATATACATATACACATCACTCTGGTTATATCGACATTTTTGAGACATTATTAATAAAATTCAAAATATCGATATAGTGTTATACTAACATTTTATATTAAAATTTTTGAAGAAAATGTCGATAAAGAAAGATTTTACTATGATGTCGGTATACACAGAGTGACGTGTATAATATTTTACTTATTCATTTATTTTATTCATTTATTATTATTATTATTAATATTTCATTTATTAGGAAGATACAACTGATGCAGTATATGAAAAACGACATCGAAAGCATGAACTTGCAGAAAAAAAGTTAAAGAATAGGGAAAGAGAAAAATTAGAATATGAACGATATCAACAACAATTGGCAGTAGAGAAATTACGCAACACGGATTCTAAAAGTTTAATATCAATAGCAGCTTTACGTAATAAAGATTCGACGAGTGATGCAAGTAAATTAGAGACAGTACATAAAAAATTACTTAAAGAAGCAGAGGATCAATTAGCAAGATATGATTCTTTAGGATTAGGAGGAAAAAAGAGGAAAGCAGATGCAATAATCAACAACAACAGTAATATAGGAGGAGAAAATAAAGTTCCTGAAGAACCTGATAACAAGAAAGCACGATTTCGTGTACAGAGACGTACCAGTAATGCAGATCCAGAAGAAGTTTTAACACAATCATCAAAAGATGAAACAACACGAATTACTCGAAGTCGTAAAAAGAAGGATGAAAAACAAGATGATGAAATTAAAATCATTAACACTAAATCAACAGAAACTGTAATCAAAACAAACCACAAAAAAATTAATACCAAAGTAAAACAAAAAGAACAAAAAGGAAAGAAAGTTCAAAAGACAACCTCATCATCGTCATTGTCGTCATCATCATCAACAACAACAACAAAAAAAGTACGTCCTTCTACGTCTTCATATATTCAACAACTTGCCACATTTATAAAACCAAATACAGCAATGCCAACGGGATCCCGGAAGAGTACACGTTCAGCACTTGCATTTGGATATAAAGTTCCTGTCAAACCCTTTGTGAAAAGAGATTTCAGTCTTCCGGTTTCTATATTTGGAGAAATGATGAATGAAAGAGAAAATTTACGATTACAAGAATATCAGCAACAAATGGACGCAGGAGAGGAATTTAAAAAACTTTAAAGATTCACGTGCTAAATTAGTACGATATACGATATAAGAATATATCTATTTTTTTTTTTTGTAAATATAATGATGAAATATGGGTTAGATCATTTTTATAATAATTATTATTATTATTATTATTATTTTTTTTTTTTTTTTTTCTATAAAAAAAAAAAAAAATTGAAAACTATCACGGAACAAAGATGCTCGCATTTTTGTTGTCGATCATAGTTTAAAATAACCATAAATTTTTTTTTTATTCATAATTCATGTATATAGATATCATTCATAAATTACATGCATCCTAAGGAAATATATATTTTAAAAACGTTGATTTCTATTATAATATACAGAATTACATCACAAAGTTGCCATAAAGACATATAAAATAAATGAGTATCAATAATTGAGGATCTATTATTGTTATACATACGTAAAAAAAAAAACGTGGAGTTTGCCGTAATGTTGTGGGCTCGTGCGGCCGAAATGTGCAAGTTTGTATATAAGACTATAATATTCACGCCAAGGTGATCTGTGTCCCCAAAAATTTGGCGTCACGTTTGCTGTCAAATGACACTTTACATATGATAATGTCTGATAATATTTGATATTCAATATAATGCATGATGATTTGCTGATCTTTAGTAAGATAAAATCTTATCGTTATCAGAGAATTTACCTTAACGTTAAATTAAAATCACACTCTTTTATCTCATTTTTAAAATGGGAAGACTAAGAAGATCAAGAACTCATAAAGGTATTCCTGTTCAAGTTAATGAATGAGCTTATAGTATTTAGTATTTAGTATTTAGTATTTAGTATTTAATGGTTTACAGGAGTTAGTTTACCTTTCGAAACAAAAAAAAATTTTTTTTCTTTTATACTGTTAGGTTTTTTATTAAAAACTATTATAATGCTCATAAAGCATCATATAATTATCGACAGAATTACTAAACATAAAAAAGTAAATTATATAAAAAATTGTATATATATATATATATAAATTAATTAAAAATATTTTATTTATAGGTATTAGGGATCAATATAGAAAAAAACGAACAAGAAATTATACCAAAGATTTAGATCAAATTCATAAAGATTTGAAAGAGTTAGATGAGCAAATGGTACAAAACCAAGAATCAGATCTAGATTTGCCAGGATTTGGAAAATATCCTTGCGTGGCTTGCGCGTGAGTATGGAATTTCAAAGTGAATGAAAATTATTAGAGTTATGATCAACTTTAGAAAAACACCAGGTAAACGATGTTTATTTATAATCTTCAAATGGTTAGACGTTATTTCATAAATCAAAAGGCCCTTGATGAACATAATCGCGGTAAATTACATAAAAAACGGTAATTAAAAATTGATCGATTTCACATGAAAAAAATAATTTGTTTCATATATTTTTGACATATTTTAACATATTTTAACATACATATATTATTATATATATATAATAAAATTTAAACAGAATTAAATTACTTAAAGAAGTTCCTTATACACAATCTGAAGCCGAAGCAGCCGTTGGTTATTCTACAGAACATTCAAGAATTAAAGTAATGAAAGATATTAGTTATTAATCTTATAACATTAAGCACATATATAAAAAAAAAAAATACTGTATCTGGTATGTTTGGGGAGGTAATTTTTTTTTACAAAGCACGATCGTGTGATTGTAGTTTGTATTACTGGCACTAATAAGTAAATCAATATTTTTTTAAGACGTGTAAAAATAACTCTGGTTTGTACTACCGATATAACTTTTAAGAAAGGTGACCGAATTAAGGAAGTGAGACCAATTGAGACAACTTGCATGTGTTATTGTGGGGAAAGAACAGAATTTTGTGTAAACTTTGTTGGCGTTTTTTCCCAAGCCTTTATTACACATGCATCGAGAGTTTGAATTTTTATTTTTTTTTTTCATTTTCAAATCAAAATATGATTGCTTTCATCATCTCACCTTCACTGGTTTCTAAACTTTTTTCTTCCTTTTTCGAATTATGAAAGTATTTCATTGGCTAAGCTTACTATAATCGGCACTATTAACGGATGACTCCCGCTTAGTAATGTCTAACAAGCATTGCATTGCATTCACTAAACATTTCTGGAATTGATAAAATTTGTGTCGCTCAAAAAATTTGACCAAAATTTTTATGTACATGACCTGATTAATAAACCTCATTTTAGATAGGTATACCATGGATTAGTTTTTTATTCATTCTATTTTTTTAATATTAATAATTAAAGAAAACTTATATATCTGTTATATATATGTTATATATATGTTATATATATGTTATATATATGTTATATGACATATATTTATTTTATTTTATTAGTAACTTATTCTGATTATAATTTTATTAAGAACCTTTTTATTAATAGAAACATGTGCAACCTAAAGCTCAAAAAAATCAGGGCAATCAATCATTGATACAATAAATTTAAAAAGTATTTTGTTAATAAATTGAAAACTATCTTATGACTAAACGTATGACTAAACGTAAATGATCGATGAGTACTGTCTCGACCTTTTTGGTGATCATGCAGAAAATGAGATTGCTTATTATTGATGTGTTACAATCTGTACAATATCAAAATATTGATATACGAATATACATTATATAAATAATGAAATCGATCAGTTCAAAAGATCGCCTGACAATCAGATCCATGAAAATGGTGAAAATGGTACATATAACCGCAAAGTGGATATTGAATCGGACTGTTTTCTTAAAATGATAGTTACGCAAGACATTCGCAAGACATATTCCTTCCAATTCCTTCCATTTGCTTCCCACTTTTTTTTTTTTTTTTTTTTTTCTCCTAGTGATTTGGTAATCTTGTAATCTTGCATGGGATCACAAACATTATCAGACAGGATGACAGTAATGATGCATGAAAGTCAACAGGGTCCCTTTATTATTGAAAAGCATTTATCCCCTCAGAATTATTGTCTTTTTATATTTTTTTAGATAATTTTCTTTTCTATCCGCTCGGCTTTACTTTCGCGCTTAACGCTTATTTTTACGTACATACGTAAGTACGTATACTACAAATTCACAACAGCGGATATTAAATATTGTAACTTTTTATGCGTCTCCTTACGATTTACCGTACATCCTAATCCTATTGTGTATTTATTTATGTGCATGGTAAATGCAATATATAGTATTATACAGTACTATACAGAACTATACAGTACTATATTAAACTACCTGTCAATATCGATATCCTATAATTCGAATCATAATTTTATTCCCTTTTTTTTCAT